AAACATTGAGCATTTTAATGATTATGAATTGGACCCATTTACTTCCATTAACAAAGGACAAGTCAACACTATTTTTGTGACCACAAATTCTGTCAACTTGACCTGAACCCTGAACCTGAAATGTCCCTGTTAATATTCGTTTTTTTTTAATATGATGCATCACCATCAATAGCAAAGAAAATCGGAACTTGGAACTGCTGGAAGTAATTGAGTAATCACTTACGTTTTCACGCTTTTTCACATCATCTACAGCCAAGAAGTGAAACACAGCGTGACAGCGTGCACAAAACACGGCAGCCACCGGCACACGTAGTCTTTTCTTTATTAGTATTAATTTTCTCCGAGGGCTCTGTGAGCCATTTAAACCGTGCCTGCCTTATTTTTCCTCTCAACTTGTCTGAATCAGGAGTCCTAAAGAGGGCATATGAAATATTGATGTGGAATTGTCTGCTGTGCGATTCAGCTGTGTTTACCGCACAGCAGAGCGGCCTTAGAGGCTTAGCCTACACAATAGCCGTAACAAAAGAACAACAGCTGATCCGTGTGAGGCGAGGAGGTGACAAAACAGTTAAAGCATGCTGCTGGCTATGGGCAAGCAGTCAGCAGATGCAGACAAAAGGGTTTGTGACAAGAATAACTCTCTCTCTCTCTTTCTCTCTCTCTCTCTCTCTCTCTCTCTCCCTTTTCCTCTGTCCCTCTCTCTCTTTCCAAGGCAAGCAGTCAAGAGGATCCAAAATACCAATACCCTTTTCTCCTTGACATTGTCTTCTTCCCTAGTCAGCATTTTACTGTCCTTTTATGGTAAAAAAAAAAAATGAGTTAGAGAAATTCCTCACAGGAATATTCTTAGCAATGCAGCACTCCTGGGCTTTACCCTATGTTAACATCAGTAGCTACGCAAAGGAATCAGTTTTGATGTGAACATATCTCAGCCACGAATAGGATAAAGACAAATCTATCAGCTATACAGTCCTTCACATTAGCACTAAATAGGTGCTCACCTGCATCATTCAGTGCCCTATAAGACATTTTAAAGGGGACAAATGGAAGCCCTGATTCAATTAAAAGAGCCAATCAATGTTTGTTTGTTTTTTACTCTAGGACTTCCATGAACATTAAAGGGATAGTTCACCCAAAAACGTAGTCATCACTAAACCCTCAAGTTGTTCCAAACTTGTTAAACACAAAAGAAGATATTTTAAAGAATACTGGTAATCAAACGGTTGATGGTTGCCAATGACTTCCTTAGTAGGAAAAAAAATACTATGGAAGTCAATGGCTACCGTCACCTGTCTGGTTACCAGCATTCTTTAAAATATCTTCTTTTGTGTTCAACATAAAGGTTTGGCTTCATGCAAATTATTGAAGATTAAAATGAAACAGTGAATCATTTTTGAACTAGTTCATTCAAATGAATCACCCAAATAAACCAACTCACTAAAATGATTCAGACTTCCCAACACAATTTGAGAGATATTTTAGCTGTGCATGTTTTATCAAGCTACACCACTACTTGTTGAAATCTTGAATGTATTGCCATTTTATTGTTGAATCGAAATATTGTATTGAATACAATCTTGACAATTTGGTCAATTTTGGTCATTCTCCATTCAAGTGGAAAGGAGATGTACTCGTATGTATTGTCTACATAGAAAATAGCTAGCCGAAGGCATTACCAAGATGGCAACGGACCAGACTGACTTGCCTTTAAGGGACTTTGGGAGCATCCAAAAGAGACAGACTCCCTTCTGAGACCACACCAATTTGAGAAAGGCACCTCTATCACTTTTTTTCTTCTTCCGGTGTGCAATTATTCTGTTGTTTTTCCAGAAGGCTGCTGGCCATTGTCTGAGGGGGTGGAAGACTTATAAAAGTGTGAAAAAAATAGGGGAGAGTGTATGTCGTGAGTTGGGGCGTTGGGGAGGTTGGATATCTATAACCTTTGTAATCCCCCCCCCCCCCCCCCCCCACACCTCTCTTCTCTTTTTCTTTCTCACCCCCTCCATTCCATGTGACATTCATTCATCAGCCAAGTGCGTTTGGCAAGCCCTTCGCCTATGAGCGCCGTCCCAGTGACCACTAACCTTGGTATGTCCTGACACTCGTGATGAGTATCTGCAGGACACAGAAGGCAAGCAGGCTGCTATGTCAGGCCTTTATTGTGTACTGCCGAGGCTGGGGACAGTCAGCATAATCAAACAAATGACCCCTGAAGGCTGTGCCCCTCAGGGAGGGAGAAGTAGAAGGAGACAGAGCTCTGGCCAAAAGCACTTGGGCAGGATTTTTTTTTTTTTTATCTCCTCTTCTCTTCCCCCTCCCTTCCTATGATCTTGCCCCAGGAGAAAGTGTGGAGGAGGGGAGAAATTACTGTACGGCACTGTACAAAAATGTCACCCGTTTGAGACGGACAGAGTTTGAGCACCGCAGTGTTGTGGTGATGCTTTAAATTAAAAGTAGCTTACAACTATTTCAAAGTAGTTCAACCACAGTAAAGCCGCCCATGAAAAAAGTATAGTTGGTAACAAACAGTATCTACGCTGAAGGTATATAAGGGAGCAATATAGCTAAATCATATCATTTATTGATAAATATTTAATAAATTATATATTATTTATTATTGAATACATTTTGACAACTTAACTTATCTGAACTGCATCAGAAACATATTCCCAATCATCACTATTAAACTAAATATTTATTCCGATGCCATGGAGTCCCATTAAACAGAGAAGATTCGAATTAAATTTTGAATCAGTTCTTGAAAATGAACCATCGCAACGCTATTTAAAAGAGACAGCTCTACAAACATTCAAATTACTCAATGAATCATTTTAACTAGTTCATTAAAATGGACTGCCAGAATGAACCAGCTTGGTTCACTGAGTGATGATTGAAATGAATTGAATGATTTTTTTTTTTGACTAGTTCATTAAAATAAATCCTCCAGATGAATTAACTCACTAGAAAGCACATTTTGTCACCCAACAATGCTACTTGTTGAAAACACTAATTTGCTACTGAAAAAGCTATGCTATTATCCTACACTATTCAGTTAGCAACGTCGCTACTTTTAGCTATTTATGCTTATAAAAGGGAGCGAGAATGCTGCACGTTACAGCATATAAACCCAATCAAGCCATCAACAACACTCCGTTAAATCATACCATCTAGTTTAACTGCCATTATAAGTTCAGTATTTATAGCCATGCTATAATTTAATACTGCATTACAACCAAAAGTCAAGCACTTATGATTGTGGCGGCAGAGTGAAACATCTTCCACGCTGGTCAAGGCCGTCCAGACATGGGTATGCCTTTGATGACAGTATATTTAACACACTTAATGGAAAAAAGGGAGCTGGGGATGGTGTGGGTCGCATGGATGAGATTCTTTGTCCTGACAACTGCTCACCTGGCAGGGCCTTTGAGAAGCAGTCAGGGTCTGATTGATACTGACGGCAAACTAAGCGCTGATCCCGATCCACGGGAGAGGGCTGCATTGATAAAAACTAACTATAGGCCTTTAACCTTGCAGGGGAGGATGAATATTAGATGGTGTCAAAAACTTTGCTGTGTGAATACATTGATTTAGGATGGTTAGAGTATAAACTGATCTCTTTGTATCTGTAATGGATACTATAATATATATATATATTGAAGAATCTTTTTTTTTGTCCAGCTAATGAAAGTCAACATTAGACCCCACTGACTTCTAATGGCATTGACTATGATGCATTGTTATCGCAAGTTTCGCAATGACATTTAGTTTCATTTTTCGATGAACTATCCCAGCTGTGTCCATCAAATATAGTATAGCCCATAGTAGCACATTCAAAATGACAGCATTATGTTTTTGTTTCTCGTATGCAACCTTTGTGTCTGTTTCTGTGTCCTCATGCCTGCTTCCCCATCTGTGTTTGAGCGTGTGGGTGTTTGTGAGTGTGTGTGGCAGTAAGCACCGTGTCTGGGAAGTGTCTTGTCTAGCTGTAGGGGAGGTGGCTTAGTCCTTTGCCTGGCTAATCATCTCTATAATGTTAGCGGAGAGGAACTGTCACTGGTGCTAAAGAGATCACAGGGCCAGTCTACAGTATGCCCCCGGTCTTGGCCCTCTCTCATGAACAACAGCCTCACGCCAGAGAGGATGAGTTCCGGTTGTACAGAGCGAACTCCTCTAAGTAGTGTCCTACACGCTAGCTGATTATTTTGGTTGGGAAAACATTGCCGTTAGAGATCCAGACCCTGTCCAAGAGCACCAATAAGCTACGTGATTGTTACGGAATCAAGAAGCTAAGCTGAGTGTTGTATTTTATGGGCCGCTATCAGTGGCAGAATCTTCTTCTTCCCCTTCTACAGTAGAAGTGGAAGCATATTGAGACAAAAAGACATTTTATGAGACATCGCTAACAATCTTGTGTCAAATAAAGGGAAGTCAACAAATTATGTTTCGCTCGCTCTAGGAAGTAGACTCTAAAAGAGGAACAGCTCAGGTAATGTTTAACCCAATGAGTTCCTCTTGGTTACAACCTCACAAATTCTGCCACCTTCAAAACATTGACTGTAAGTTGTTATGCAATGGTTTAAATTGTTTCAACTTAAAAAAAAAATAAATCTTGCTGCTTTTTTTTGACTAGCCATTCCGAAGTACTTTCCCGTCGCCCAATGTCGCAGTTTGATATAAAAGATTTGAAAGACTAAAAACTGTTAAGTTCCACTCCAACACGGGTATTCAAGTCGCCACCTCTAAAATGTGTTTCAGCATTTGAAACAAAGAGGAATTAGTGTTGTGATGATGTTTGGGGCTGTTCTCTATGTCCCCTCAGACTTGGCAGCCCAACGCTCCCCTATACACAGTTTCTGCCAGGAGGGTCTTTCGGGTCTCAGTGCTTATTTTCTTTTTTGAATTCTTTTTCCTTTTCCCCTTTATCCTCTTTTCTTAATCAGAGACTTGGGATTGAAACATAATATGTTTATTAATGTCATTGTCTCCTTGTGTATCAGCAGGTTCCGGAGCGATTCCTGGAAGTGGCACAGATCACGTTACGGGAGTTTTTCAATGCCATTGTGGCAGGCAAAGATGTTGATCCTTCCTGGAAGAAGGCCATATACAAGGTCATCTGCAAGCTGGACAGTGAGGTCCCAGAGATTTTCAAATCTCCCAATTGTCTGCAGGAGCTTCTGCATGAGTAGTGATTTGAATTGCTTACCAAGTACCATCCCTTCTTTTCAAGAAATCTTTACAAAGTAAGAGGTAGCATTCCTATTTTTAAGTCCCGGCTACTTTTGAATGACTTAGCTGTTCATTTTTTTTTTTTTTTTTGTGCATCTTTTTTGGAAAGTCTATAAAATTCTTGATTGTTTTGACTGTATTCAATCCTTACCCAATTTTCCTTGCCTTTAAAATGGGCATTACTATGTTTACCACTCAATGGTTAACACATGGAACTGACACCCTGAATTTCTCTTTTATTGGTCATTTTTTTTTTTTTTTTTTTTTTTTGTTGAGGGCTTTGTTTTATCCCAGGATGTTTGCAATGTGTGATGGTTTTACTATTGCTGAATAAGACTTGCATTTGTAGCTTGTATAGATGTAATTATTATTTATGATTAATATAATTATTACCATTAATGTTATTCATGCTTGCTACAAAAAAAAAAAAAGAAGGAAAAGAAAGACAAAAAAATTGACATGTGGTATTCTTGTTTCTCATGGCAAATGCTACAGAAAATAAATTATTCTTTGGACAAAAAAAAATAATAATAATAAAGAGGGGTATACATTTTCTATGTGGGAAATTCATATATATATAATATAAATTTATATATATATATATTTGATGTTATTCTTGAAAGAAACAGCATTAACTGTTTTTTTTTTTTTTTTTTTTTTTTTTTTTTTTTTTTTGGTTTAGCCATTCTTCCATGTTGGCTAGGGTCCAATGTTCTTGTGTTTTGTGTCCACATTGATAGCACTGGCTCTAGGGAGGGAGGCCTACTCGTAGGTTTTTTTTTTTCCTTGACAGAGCAGCCTCTCCTGTAACTAAGCAACATGGCCATTTCATACTGGGGCAAGCCAGTTCGGCACAAAAAAAAATGGACGCCTTCCCACTGAGAAACCATTCTTGCTCATAAAAAGCACACTGTCACAACTGCTCGCATAAACACACACACACACACATTACTCTCATACATAGACGCTAATTCACAAACACAAACACGTGCCGTACGGCATCAAGGCAAGAGAATGGTTGTTATTGTTCATTTTCTCCACCTGCTAGCTGGGAACACCTCTATAATTGGACTGTAAATTTGGTAGATTATCTCAAGTTTGGTTTACACAGTAGAGATTTTGGCTGAGAATAATTAGCGAAAGTTTTTTTTTTTTGTTTTTTTCTTTGTACGTACTGGATTGTACATAGTTTATTTGTTAGAATTGTACAGATTTGCTTAATATTCACAATCATCTGATTATGCTGTGGCAGTGTACAGTTTATCAGTAGTGAAACCATGTTAAAGAGAGACATTGTTTGTTTGAGTTCAATTGTACATTTCTATATGAATCATATGAATTTCTTTGAGTTGCATTTTAGCCTGCTAAGAGATCCACGTCAATGTAACTAATCACGAAAATTAGCCTACCCTAGAGAGAAAAAAAGCACAGTTTCTTCTCAAATCCATGTTGACAAAAGAAAAGAGGGCCTTCAGACTCTTTGTGCATCCCTTCCTAGTTCATAAATAAGAGTCTGCAGTAGAGGGCAAGGGCTGGACATGTGATCTGCTCTGGAAGCCTGTGCCGTTTGCATTGGGCAAATCCAGCTGATGAATTGAAACGCAGGCCGGCAATTATTGTCAGCACAATGCCTTAAAAAACCTGCTGACTTCTAGATTAATGGGCACAAAAGAGCATGAGGTGCTGTCATTCTGTCGCCAGGGCTGGCATCATCCACAGCCCCCGGACAACGCACAAAACGCCAAGCTATTCACTATGCATTGTAAAGAAGAGGAAAAACAAACCCCAAAAACAAAGTTTGGCCCTGTTCTCTTCTCAAGTCTCTCGCAAGGCTGTGCTGACCTACGTTCTCCTTTACATGCATTGTGATAAATAAACGATTCTTTCAAGTCGTAAGGAATTCTGTTATCTCTATTGATGCTTTGCAACATTTTCAACCCTGCAATATTTTAATTTGCGCATAAACTGGTGCTTAGTCGAATTCATCTGCTCATAATCATCTATAAAAACAGGTAAATAGTGTATTTCACGCATTTAATGAATCTGTGTCTATTACACCAGCAAATTATTTTTGTTTTTTAATAAAAGAAAATAATACCATAAAATGGCACAGAAATGATACGATTTGACTTGTAAATCCTAGCAACATAGATCGACCTGGAAAAACAATAGCACGAATTGAAATTGAGGGTTATATTCTCCTTCTTTTTTTCTTTTTTTTTGGAAGAAAATGCCCTCGGGTAACAAACTAAAGTCCAACTTTTACAGCCCATTTGATGAAGAACAAGTATGACGCTTAGTTCCCCATGAATCTGATGTACTTTGAGCCATTTACCGTAGCACAGAGGCAATACGTGTGCATAGGTGTGTGTGCGTGCTTACTTGGGCATGTGCGTGTTTGCAGGGAGTGTGTGATATACACGCATGATAGTACGTTAGTTTTAGTTCCCATAATAACTTCTGTTTATTTTCTTTTATCTATTGTTTCTCTTTTTGAACTTTTGTTTGTATTTATCACTGTACTGCATCTTCAAGACAAACCAGAGTGAGGTTACGTTCAACATCTTTTTTTTCTCTTCTTCTTCTTCTTGCTATTATACTTCTAGAAGTGTTATGGTGTTTTAAATGTTTCGAGTGGCTCTCGGTCGACTATTTTTCTCCCCTTCATCTCACCACCTCTTCAGGGTTGCCCGTCTAAGGTGTTCTCGCTCGGTCTGCATTCATTTGGTATTGAAATGAGATGGATCTGTTTGCGTGGTTACACAGGGTCATTTGCTGTGTTGCTTTGTGTCGAAAATCCTAAATGTAGCCGTGTACATTTCGCACTCCATTAAGGACACTCTATAGAAGAAGAAAGGAAAACCTATCTGAATAACCTTGATTCAAAGTTTGGGTATGAAGTACACTATTGCTCATTTACATTTGACATAAGAAACTTTGTTTTTTCATGCAATGGAGGAAAAAAAAAAATCTGTCATGTGGTGATATGTACAAATCAATTGCCAAACTCAGTTTGGGACTGTTTTTTTTATTACAAAGAAAGACATTACAGAAGAGAAAAGGAAGAAAGAAACTTTGTATATGACTATATTTCTCGGAAGGGAACAATTATTTGTACCGAATGCAATGTGTTACAAGACTCTTGACTCTTTGTAGATCTGATGCTGTATTTATGAGGTGTGTGTGCTCCCTGAAGGGTTTTAAACATGATTTCACTGGCTTTGACATGTATGTAAATACAAACCGAAAATGAGAAAACACTGCCTTTCTATGATTTAGCAATATGATGTAAATAGCATTGTTAGGCTTTTTGTTTTTTTGTTTTTTTGTATGAAAGAACTCTTTGATTCTAGTATGGTGATTGCAGCTGAAACTGTTACAATTTTCTTTAATACGTTTTGAAGGACACATACATTGTTGACGGGATAGCATTGTGGATTTTGTTGTCAATTTGTCATACAGAACTTTCATAATTTATTGGTTTAATTTATCATAATTTATTTGGTGATGGTGTAATTTTGGTATTTCTGGGGATGTATTGTAATATTATTTGGTAGAAAGAGACCATATAAATGCCCTCCTAAGCTCCTTAACTCTGTAGAGACATAAAGAAACACATATGTCCAGGTAGCCATTGTAATTTCAGACACTGTAGTCATGAGAGACGCTTGATGGGGAAAAAAAAAGAAAAAAAAAAGATGTACAAAACAACTTTTCTTCTATCTTGTTTGGGCGGGAATTTGTGTTTTGAAGTTTTTATTTCTAATTACTTAAACAGACTTTTACCTTTGCTTTTTACCACCTACACAATACAGTAGTCAAAGTGCCTCGTGTGCCTTCCATCTCCTCGGAACTGAATGTATGTGCAGTATATATGCAAGCTTGTGCAAAATAAAAACTAAGTCCTAGATCAGGTGTTTCCTTTTGCCATTTGTCATCATTTAAATCAGCATGGTAATCAGAGTAAAACCAAGGAGATTTGGAGTTTCCTGTGATGCCAGAAGATATTATATTAGAAGATAATATTTCAGGGTCAAGTTCGGTTCAACTCACAGAACTTTGCCATGAAAATGCATTTCAACTTATAATTCTATTTTATAAAAAGCTAAAATCTAAGTTGAAACACCTACAACGAAAGTCAATGGGGCCAATCAGTAAACATCAATATACTTTTAAATAGGCATAAACAGTATGAGTGTTATCATTTTATATGGAGGAAGAGGGGAAGGGAGGCAAAGCTCACTTTTTCTGTGAAATGTTATAAAATTGTACATGACATAACAATTAAAACTCTTAAATAGTAAGATTTTAGCACCAAATTTGCAGGATTCACATTTCTAGTTTTAAATCCTCCAAAAATTGGCCCTATTCACTAAGCTTCTCACAGAGAAAACTTTTTTGAGAGAATCAACATTAAGCCCCAAATGGTGTCAACTGAGTTTACTTTGTAATAAACACAGATTATTCATTTCAGATAACTCAAATGCTAGGCTTTTCCCCCATGTAAATCAAATTCCTAATCAAGCCTGTTATTTCATCATTCTTTGATTCAGACTGAATAGAATCACACTTCATCAGATATCACGGTAGTTGTTTCTCGATTATATTGTCTTTGACAAAACACTAAAATGATCTCATTTCATCTGGATTAATATGAACAATCTGAAGCGGAGATAAATAATAATATAAAATGCTTCAAATATTCATATCGACATCCAATCTTAATTGCAAAGAAAGAGGGTGGAAAAAGGTGCACTTGGAGAGAAAAGAGCAGCGCTCGCGCGGCGCTGTGGAAGGAAGCGGGGCGGCCGCTGCTGTAATTTATAGTCTGGTACAAAGAGGCACTTTAGTGGGCCTGGACCGCTCCAGCGGCTCCGCTGAACAGGAGGTGGGGTCAGATCACCCCCCCTTCCCACCCTCCGCGCCATAATGACGAGCAGAGCCGCTCACCGCTCCCCTTCTGTTTGATTTCATCATCGCGCCTTTGAAAAGCACATCTTAACAGCACAACAATAAAACAGCTGTGTTTGTGTTGGCCCATTCATTGTTGAAAATTTTACCACCATCCCCTCTTCTCTCCCCTCCCTAAAGAGATAACACGAGAATAATGTCGCTACCGTGATGCTCTCTCGGAAAAGAGAAAGGAAAGATCGCTGTTATTAATTGGTTGTTATTAAAGCAGAGGGGGATGAAGGTTTTGTTCGACGTTCTCGCAGGCCTGTCCGTGAGGTAGAATGAGATTTGATGGGTTTTGTAGCAATGTTGTAATAAGCGTGTGAGGTTTTCTCATGAATAACAGTTAATTATTTGGCAATTATTTATTTTATTTTTTTTCAGATTGGAAAGAATAAAACTGTTTTTTTTTTTTTCCTAGTTCAAAATGTGAACAAACACTAAAGCTTGTGTAAGCTGCGCACCGGCTGACCTCTGTCAGATCGGGGCATTTTGTTTTGGTTATGTAGAGCTAACACTAACAGGCGTGCATGACCTTCCCTTTATCAAGAAGACAATGACCTCATCACTCCTGGCATTACATGCGACTTCAGATGCAGCTGCATCGGTTTGGATCCAGAGCTCATGGCTGGATCCAAACGACATGGACAGACGCGGTCAAACGCGCCAGGCTCGTTTCTTCCTTCTTTTTTACGGAGGACGAACCTCTGGGGCATCCCGCCTCAGCTCAGAGCCGACAGGCTCCTTGCAGTTGGGCTGAAGCAGCATCCTTGCATTACACGAACAGTCTGCTTCATAATCAAATACCATCTGTCGCTACATCTGAACCTGTTTTTAACATCTGTGCTTTCTGGTCTTAACAAAGCTTTAAAAACCAATTCACAACTTTCACAGCTCACTGGGCTGGATGTGTATATTTACTACTTTTAATACATCTTTCTGCTACTTTTACGAGGGCTCTGCTCTCTCCCAGCTGGGGGGCTGTTAGGAGGGCTGCCGGCAGGATGATACTGCCTTGCTCAAGTACCAACTGGCCCGCCACGAGTAGCCAAGTGCAGAGCACTGCCGCACACCGGGTCACAAAGGAAAAGGAGTGAGGCGGAGGAAGGGAAAACAAGGCGAAATGTGCCCCGATGAGAGAATGAACACCTTTTGCCAAAACAAGTTTTGTCCATTTGCCCCTCCGATGAGGAGGCTTGGAGTTGATCACGCTTGAAGCCCTATTACTGGAAATGGCACTGCAGGCCGAATGGCAACCAAGGGGAGAATCACGAGCGTGGAGCAGAAGTGTGTTCTGGGTAAATGGGTAAGTGAAAGGTCCCTCCGAGGACAGTTCGGTCTGTCACCTCGCACATGCCGAGGAATCTGCAGTGTCTTCTACAACTTCAAACCCATTTGCCGGCAGATGTTACCGGAGAGGTTTCCAGAAAACATGATGGTATACGTTCTGCAAAGCCAAAAGTAGACGTCAGGCCGATGTTTTCTATTCGCTGTGTCTCGTATTTGCTACATGTTGAGCAAAACAGCAATCTCTCTGTTCAGTTTGTGTTCTCGTATCAAAACGAACCATAGAAATGAGATGATGTGAAACAAAACCGCATAAAAAATGTATGCCAAAATGCAATTGGTTGGCAGTTTTTCTCTCTCTAATTTCAGATACATGCATCAAGTTCTCAAAAATGTGCGCTTTGTATTCGTGTTGGGTTCATATGGTTTCAAAAAAATTTATGTAATTTAAATAAAAAAGAAAAAATATAAAGTGAAAAATAATGACATTTTCCGAGATGGTCCTTGCTGCAGAACATAGATCCAGATCCAAGTCCTCCCACCTTACATATACCTAAACCTACCCATCTCCGCCCCCTGATCCCTAAACCCACCCCTAATCCTACCCATCTCCACCCCCTGATCCCTAACCCCACCCCTAATCCTACCCATCTCCACCCCTTGAGCCCTAACCCCACCCCTAATCCTACCCATCTCCACCCCCTGATCCCTAACCCCACCCCTAATCCTACCCATCTCCGCCCCCTGATCCCTAAACCCACCCCTAATCCTACCCATCTCCACCCCCTGATCCCTAACCCCACCCCTAATCCCACCCATCTACGTACCCTAATCCCTAACCCCACCCCTAATCCTACCCATCTCCACCCCTTGAGCCTAACCCCACCCCTAATCCTACCCATCTCCGCCCCCTGATCCCTAAACCACCCCTAATCCTACCCATCTCCACCCCCTGATCCCTAACCCCACCCCTAATCCTACCAATCTCCACCCCCTGATCCCTAACCCCACCCCTAACCCTAACCCATCTCCACCCTTGATCCCTAACCCCACCCCTAATCCCACCCATCTACGTACCCTAATCCCTAACCCCACCCCTAATCCTACCCATCTCCACCCCTTGATCCCTAACCCCACCCCTAATCCCACCCATCTACGTACCCTAATCCCTAACCCCACCCCTAATCCTACCCATCTCCACCCCTTGAGCCCTAACCCCACCCCTAATCCTACCCATCTACGCACCCTGATCCCTAAACCCACCCCTAATCCTACCAATCTCCACCCCTTGATCCCTAACCCCACCCCTAACCCTAACCCATCTCCACCCCTTGATCCCTAAACCCACCCCTAATCCTACCCAACTCCGCCCGCTGATCCCTAACCCCACCCCTAATCCTACCCATCTCTGGTCCCTAACCACACCCCTAATCCTACCCAACTCCGCCCCCTTATCCCTAACCCCACCCATCTCCACCCCTGGATCTAGTGTACTGCAATGAGGTGCTACTGCATTTTCCTCACACTTTGAACTAGGGGTGTAACAATATATCGTGTCACAATATATCGCAATACAATTATGTACAATATGATAGTGACAATATGAATTGTGTATAGTTCACCCAAAATAAAAATGACTGTGAGAAGGAATTCAAGTTTTCAGAGTTTTAGTATCAGTACTACATTCAATTAATATATATAATGTTGAATATAATGCATAATAATGCAATGTGGGAATATTTGTGTAAAAAGTGGCCTACGTTATTTTAAATATATCTCGTCAGTGACAGAGTGCAAGCATATTCATCTAAAATAATTCAGTTTTTTCAGCTGCTGAATCATGAATATCTTATATACGGGTGTCACCATTGTCCTGTGTATTGGGTTACCAACACCAAGTCCAAGTCTATTCATTTTCACCCACACTGTAATATCAAATTCAGCGTTTTAATCAACAGTATTTTTTTTTCTACCCTTTTATCATATGTCTTGGAGTATCGCAATAATATCGTAACGTGAGTTCAGTATCGTGATATGTATCAAATCATGACATGAGTGTATCGTTACACCCCTGACTTGAACACATGAGAGTGTAAACAAAATCATTATTTTCAAAGTTTGAAAATGTATTTATGAGGAAATATTGGTTAGTAAATGTTTGAGGAATCACACCAAATTACATTTTAGAACCTGACTAACTTTACATTGTCGTAAAAGATTAAATATGGTATTTTAAGAGATTTTATGACACACGATGAGTGATGATCTGCATGGGCCTTTATCATTATGTGTTTTATGATATATACATATAGTATCATGTTGTTGACCCATTTAACAGAATCTAAATGGAACGTTTGTTTTGTGGCATTTGATTCTGATCAATCTGGTGCATTTAAATATGTGCAGCAGAAGAAAGAAAAAAACTTTTTCTCGCTCTGTGGCCTTTCAGAAAAGGCTAATGTTTCAGATGACTTAGTGACACCTGGTGGCAGATTCATTACTCTGATCTAGAGTCAGTTCCCACTCCTCCAATGTTGGGGGGAGGACAGACCACAAGCCAGTCATTAATTAAGAGCCACATAAGATCATTAAAAAGTCAATAGGGCCTTTCAAGTCTGTTAGCGTTTTCAGCATGCCAACTCAAAGCCGGACCTTTTAAATCAGAGAGCGAGAAT